GTTCATCAACCAATGTGTTTTGACGGAAATGATGCGTATGTACAAATAAATAGATTGGCAGTTGGTTAAAAAATTAACAAAATCAAAACTGAGGATGTAGAGTTAATGCACAATAAGATCTTTTGACATAACAATATTATGTGCAAAGCACATCTAAATTATCAGTGGCAGTAATTCACAATAGGAAATGTCATGTATCGGTGTGCTTTGACGTTTGTCCTTGTCATTACTCATACAAAAGCTCATGCAAGGTCTTTAACCATGAACTATATAAGACATACGTTGCCTGCAGTTATATCAATTGATTTGCTGAAACAGGAAGTCAAAAAGTCAGCCCCTGACACAGAAACAAGTGTTTGCTACACATGTAGTTGGTGGAAAGCGTGTCCTTGAGACTGAATGTAAAGTTACTAACATCTGATGTTTTGGACAGTGAGGCACGGTAGTGCAGGAAAACTCCCGACCAAGGCGTCTGACACTGGGGCTGAAACAGCTTTTTCGTCTCAGAATGGCTAGCATATTACTTAGAGACAGTTCACGTTTGACACATTGAGAAGTATAATGATGTATATTAACGCCTTTTCGGATGTTCACATCCGTCAGGCGGAACACGAACAGTTAGAGGTGACAGTGTTATGGCATTTGGTATCTGCCTCCGTCACTCATTCTTGTTACCTTATATCTATATATGGATCAGATGCTCAGATCACTAACAGAACCACAAGATAGAAAGATAGTATTTTGTCTGGTGATCATGGGTGCACACTATTTATGCCACGATAACGTGGAATTGAGAGCGTATTACACTGATAATGCAACAGATAGAAAATCACTGCGATTGAAGTGCAATGAGTGAATCCAGCTCTGGACGTGACACAGATAAAATGACCAAACTGGCACATATAATAGTAACAGTTTATGGCCGATCAAGCCCTAGAGATACCAGTGACATTAGTGAGGCGACGCCCTGTTGTTTGTTTGACATGGTAAGTTCCCACATGTCACCTGTTCATAGTGCCAACTCATTTTTGTGTGTTTTCAAGACAAAATATCAAGAGCGATATGCCAGATTTCACTGTGGCCGATATCAAACGTTCTCCCTGACTGCGACCCTATTGTATTTTGAAAAGCATATAGATCATGTCAGACAAAGTTCATATGTGCTGATATTGCAACAACGGCGAATACAAATGCTGCAGACTACATCGTCAGATGATCCCAAATAGTCACTCTCCCTAAATTGTAATGAATCATGAAATCTGAATGTGTACACTTATCACTTGGACATAGCAGTTTGCAGGTAATAGTGACAATGTCATGGGCAGCCGGCCACGTTAACAGAGGCTGCAAGAGGACAGACTTGCGCACATCAGCACTGGCAGAAACCTGCAGTAGGCCTGGTCGAGTGAGAGAATCTTTGACAGCCATGGCAAACCTCCTCGAAGATTGTTGGATCAGCTCACGTTTGTTAAACGATCTTCAATAGGAAATTTGTGAACGTCGTGAGTTGGTGTTGGTGATGGCCTACTGTAAAGCTGAGCATCAACATTAAATGAACATTCTAGGTAGCTTACCGTCTAGAACTACTGAATGAGAATATGTGTACTGGCTGTGCTGTCATTGTTTGTATCAACTGTATATGAGAAATGGAAGATTTATGATATTTCAAATGGACCTTTATGACTACTTAAGTCTTTTGAGCGGGTTGTGTCTTGGGTAGTCTTATTTCAGAGATCACTAGTTGCATGTCAAAACCACCACAACACGACATTTTGCAGCCAAGCAGCATCTCCTGATGGGAACATGAACATTATCATTCTTATGGACATGACGTAAAATAAAATGTATATATAAATGATCATACACAGACTGTATTATTTACACTTCAAATAATTCGTTCAATGAGATAGTTATTGGCTTGGATCCACTTTTGTGTAATGTATTGTGTTTTATCTGAAGCAAACGTTCGTATCCACATACCTGTTACAAACCTAACAATCATAAAACAGTACTAAATATTCGTATAACGACCCAGTGTCAAAGGCGTCACGATGTCGTTTGTAAAGGATTGCACTGTCGCCCTAAAAGGTCATTTTACTGGAAATAATTAACTTTTTTATGATATCGGCAAAAGATAGTCACTTGTCAATAATCAGTCTCCGTACATAATCGTGAGATATTAATAGCATTTCAAAGATATGGGATATTTTCTGTCAACAAACACGAAATTAATACATGTACTTTACACTTACAGGAGGAGTTTTACAGGAGGCTCAGTTTGTCGGGGAAGCGCACGTTTACACCTTCTGTTGTCTTTTTATCAATGGCATAAACAGGCATGTATTGCTTACATGACCTGGATCTGGCTGTGCACTATATCATCATCACCACCACCACCACCACCATCATCATCATCATCATCATCATCATCATCATCATCATCATCATCATCATCATCATCATCATCATCATCATCATCATAATAGACGATGTGTACATACAATTTTGTACAGATTTCATACTGACCGAAATAGTCACCACTTTGGGAGGGGTTTCTAAAGTATTGTCAGTGACCGTTACTGTACGTGTAGCGTTACTCGGTGTGATTATTTCTGACACGAGCACTCCAGTGCAGATGCAGCATAACATAAGATGCATCAATAATGTGCTCAATATATAAATTCTAAGCATTTGTTCGTTGGGTCATGTCAGGATCTAATGATAGACAGGAAGTCACCTGGGATCAGATGTGCTGCCTTGTCGAACCAACCAAGCACCTACCACAGAATATGTCAACTCCCCATACTGGGACCCTCTGCTTTACTCAGAGTGTGAGAAGGGCTGTGCTACTGGAAGCCAATGTAGGAACTCTCCCAACCAATGTCCGTCAAGAGGTACAAAACCTGAGGCACCAAGAACAAATTAATGGGGAGTCGGATAACTTGGTACTTCACACACGCGTGCCATTACGTAAGTGAATGTCATGTTTTTACTGAGTGTTGTGTCAATCATATTTCTTCTCAAAAGTGACAGAAAAATAAGTCAGTTTCATAAGTTTCATGAAAAAGTGACAGATCAGGTTTGTTGTCGTTGATACGTCTGAGGATGTATTCAGGCCTATCCCAAAGATGTTAAATTGTCAGTTTCCAGGACGCCTCCTACATATTCTGGGTCGTACCACGGATGAACCTGTGAAACCCCTTTGAGAACGTCCCCTTCATTCTGTGCTGATTTCATACGGAACTACGCTTGGTTGGTAGTTATTTCTGTACTGCCCAGCAGTACTGAATCATTTGACGAAAGACAAGACGATGAATATTTACTAACTAGACAACCTGCGGCATAACATTTTCAATTATTTTTGTCAGGACAGTGTTCTACGTTGTGCAACAATGTTTCACCAGTCAGAGTCAGTGAGGCACAGTGGTGTGGTTTGTGTACTTCAACCTGATGCAGAGAACAGTGCGGAAAGATCTAGACTTTTTCTTGGGGTTTTGTATCATAGTGTCTCTCAGTTTGTACTGTCACTCGATTTTGTACTGTCATCGTGACACCTTGTATCTATTTGTATTTAGGCGATTTATGAATACAACTGGTAATTACGTCAAATTTCTTTCCTGTGTGTCGGTTTCACATCTAGTACGCTTACGGATTGATTCCCGGTTGCCTTTTTTGTTTGAACGTGGGATACATACCAAAAGAAAGTGTGCGCCACCAACCACGGTAGAATATCAAATAACTTCACACCATATTAGAATGATGAGTAGTAATGAATCAATTCTAATGGGCGCCGGTATTTGATAAAGTCGACATGTCGTAAAATTACCTGTGGCATATTTACCTTGTTATCGAGGTTCAGGAACCCGCGGGAGTCAATTATTTCAATGTTTATCACCACATTGTAAGCCACATGTATGTTCCCTGTCTTGTTAAAACCAGGGAGCTGATAATGATGGATAATTAGGTGAATGAGGTTTAGTGCATGATCCAATATATTGTATGTAGTGACCTCTCCTAGTGTGACCTCTTACACATATCCATAATGCACCACGTGTGATCTTTTAGGGCATATTGTGCGTGAGTGCGTGCGCGTGCATTTGTAAGTGCGTGTTTGTGTGCGTGTGTGTGTAGACTAGTCTAGTGCTATGTTGTGAAAGAGTTCCGGAAGGAACTAAATGCTACTTCAACCTTATGGGCCCTTACTCTACTCGGGAAGCTGGAGAATTTCCTGGGGTCTTTCACTTAAGTGTAATTGGGGAGCTAACTCATACCTCTTATCTCACGCATTACATCTCAAGGTACAAGAACACCATCATTTGAGTAGAGACCATTCTTACCCGGGATACTGCTATTCTCAGTCTATTTGGTACTGTCACTGTGTTACCTTGGTAGTGTTTGACTTTAATTTGTAACCTTTGTTAATTTTAGAATGCAATCGTGAATTGTACAATATTGGATTGTTTTATCCTTTGTGCATGTGTGTTCGGTACATAAACTATATATACTGAAAGGCAAAAGAAACGTCGTAATATTAGAAATGACATTTGAGTATCAATGGAGTATTTGAACCTATTTCTTTGAATATACACCAGAAGTCAAGTTTGAAGAAACATGAATCGTGGTCGTATAGCCTGCATTGACCAATAAAGTATTGTTTGAGATTGAAGTTAGAAATGTTTGTGTTTTTTGGAGAGGGAAAACACAACATTGAAATCGAGATGCACGTGCATCATAAATGCATTCAGGCATAAATTGCCGGCTTGAATGGCAATCGTTCACTTGTTTTCTGAACACAGCAGCTATGACTAGGTTAACGAGAGATCAACCACAACAAGCTATTGGACGTCTGCACGCTGGTCAACATGCTCGAGTCATTGCTAATGACTTCAGTTGCAGCGTACGAACGATAGAACGTCTTCGAGTGCAATAACAACGCCACCAGCAGCACTGATGACCGTCCACGTAGTGGTCAACCCCGTGTAACAACACGTCGCCAGGACCGTCATATCGTCCATCAACACGTACAAGACCTATTCGCAAGGGCCAGAGAAACATCTTGGGTGACCATAGGAAACCACTAGCGACCAGTCAGTGACCTACCATTCGGAGACGTCTCCAAGCCAGGAACCTGTTTTGTCGATGTCCTGCCAGGAGACCCATATTCACCCAACGTCACCGCCGGGAACATATCCAAGTGGACACAACAGCGGCAAAACTGTCGTGGGGGACAATGGAGAGGGGTTATCTTCTCTGATGAAAGTCGGTACTGCATTTCAGTGGCGTATTATTTTTACAAAATAGGTTCAAATGTTCCATTGATACTTAAATGTCATTTCCAATATTACGACATTTCTTTTGCCTTTCAGTATATATAAATAATCCACATGCCAGTCTTCCAAGTACGTCATGCATGGCAACCATCATATCAGCTCTGTAACACTTGCCATTTGATGATCGTCTTCGTTTACTGATCAGACAAAACCCCTTGAGAACTTCAGTTGCAAACCACTCAACAGGCTCACGATCTAGGCCGCGCAATATACATGCTGGCATTGTTTTCACTGTGGCGAGAGGTATCCTATATTCATTGAGACAGGCTTTATCTTAACCCTCGATGTCTAAAGTACACACCCTAGAAACAAATGCTAGTTCCAAAACGTTTGAATGAGTTAACTGCCTGGCAATTACCACGTCTCGGAAATGATAACTCTCTTATATCGGTTTAATTGCAGGGGAGTGTTCACAATGTGGCGCCGAAAAGACTTGTATCGGAAGTTGGAGTGCTGATTGACTTCCTTTCTGCCATAGAGTTTATAAAGAAACATTCTACAGTTGAAGAAGTTTATATGATCTATGGATATATTCGATCTCGCAATGTATGCTCGACGGAAGGATATAAGGTCTAAGAAACCCCCATAAACCCCCATGAATGACACGTCTTGTTACTTAATATGGCATGGCGGATGTGCTGCCTTCTTCAGCCGTGCTGAAAGATGTGCAACCGGGAATGAGAGGGTTCATCAGACTGAATGGTCGTATGTAGTTTCAGAATACCTAAAGCTGTATATAGAAGTTCTGACTTTCGACGTCGAAAATGTACAGATAGATCGTTAAAATCTTTAACATATCATGATTAAATGCAATGGTAACATGTGTAAAGAAGGTTCCATCTAAAGCTGGAGATCCCACGTATATCGGATGATAACACAGTTGACTTACTCCTCGCGACATTAGATAAATAAAAAACGGTAATCAAACCGCACAACATGTATACACGAACCAATGAACTTATATCCGCAAATAATATGTTTGGCAGTTATTTATGCCGAAGGGTGTTCTTGGTTCATGATAAATCATTTTTCCTGTCTGCGTTGTGATCAATAATACAGCACGTTTTTCCTTTGAAGCTTGGAAAGAAGCCGTTTCCCTATATGCATTTCCTTTGTCTCGCATTTGATAAGTGTTCATATGCCACATCTTGAGTGATTGCAGCCATGTTCTATGTTATGGAGAAATCGCAGGTAATTCTCGGACCTTATTTGCATCTGGCATTAGGATTCATAGATACATATATACAGCTTTATTTATACTATTCTAGAGCATATACGCGGTCTTGATTAATGTATTCACACAAACCAAATTGTTGAAACAGTCTCTTTTACAATCAATTGGGGAAGTATGTTTTTTTCAGCGAGTAGAAATTAAAATGTAAGTGGACATTTATTATTTCTTTAGTTGAAAATGATTTGTGTTGACGGGTTATAATTTATAATGTGGTGTAATAGATTATCTCTCTATAAAATCCAAAAGGTTTTCCTTGGATATAACTATTAACGTTGCATTTCATACGATGTCCACGTTTTAAGATCGTGTGGAATCGCCTTCACAAATCATTCAGAGTATATAATAATAATGTTTATTCGGAATTGTAGCCCATCCAGCCCATATTTCACATGGTATATATACATATAGTCACAAAGTCATTACATTAGCAAACACACTGTGATACATGTATAACAGATCACAATCAGATACATAAAAAATTCTAGTATCTTAATTTTTTCTCTTTTTTGTCAAGTATCGTATCAAATCAAACCCATTCGCTCGTAATGGCAGTGTATGAAATAAGGCCCGTCCGACCGCCCGAGACGGGCTAGATTTCTGTCGGACGGTCTAATTTTACAGCTAGCTAGACCGATGGACGGGTGAATTTTTTTTATTCAGATAACGTGTCCAATGGCACTCTCTATTTAAGAAGGACTGGTTAAATCTCTTCTGGGCTGGTAAGTTTTGAAGTTACCAGCCCAAATGTCTGGCTGGGTTTTTGGCTTATTTCATACACTGGTAATGGGCTAGCTGTTTATGAATTACAATCAGGCCTTGATAAGGTCTGTATAATACACATTGTATATTATCAAACTGTCTCGTTATTGGTAATTTCGAATGCATTATAGGGTCCTGAATCGTGTGTATTAAATGTATAACGGACACCACATTGACATCGATGGTAACGCTCCCCAACATATGGATGTTTTTGTGCCTGCATTTATTCTAGCATATTTCGACATATTGTTCCTCTGTCTGATTATCACATGTAGGTTTTACTTCTCTTTACATTGCCGGGTCACCAAATATTTGAGACCTCACCAAATATAAGATGCGCTCTTTGAAAAAATCTTTTAACTTGATATGGAATGGATCTGAATATATGTTTGATAGAATGAATTATTTTATCGCTGTGTTTTTCACCAAAGGAGTTAAGCAGCTTGGTGAACGTATATACGAGTAATTTGTTCAAAATACATAAGAAACTTCGAGATCAGTATTGAAGTTAATTCCAGGTATATCCAACAGATTTAGTTTTTGATCAACGTTGCATGCTCAGCGAAGACTTTAACGCACATTTTTATCCTTCCACAGAAAAAACAACAACTGAAGAACATGTAGCAATGCATATCGGCATCGCGCTTGAAGAGGAATCCATATCGGCGAATCCTGGTGTAACTATTGAAAACGACAAGACTTCGACATACCAGTGCAGGTGCGAACACCACAGGATCATAGCTCCAAGTATCCTTGTGAATAACTCACAATGTCACTTCAGTTTATGCTTGACATTTTTAGAGTTTTGATATATACTTCTAAACTCAAACGGAGTTTGCAAACAATTCTTTTTGAGGCATTCAAATCCACTTCAAAATGCGGATAAATCATGCTTTCTTTTGTAATGCCCACTTGTCAACTTCAAACCATCTTAATGTCTTGGGGCTAATTTTAAGAAATTTAATTTCGAACATATACGAAGATAAGTTGAATGTATGCATAGTTTTAAGTATATATTCAGTTGTATGTCTACACTCCTGTACAAATGTATACAGTATGTACTTGGTTACACAACATTTGTCACGACATGGTTACCTCATCTTACCTTAAAGATAATCCGATTATTCAACATAGTTCAAGAATTAAAATTCTTAAAGGCATTAACTGTTTTCGATTTTAATTTAAAATTCATGTAAGCATCTGGTGAATCTGAACACAGGGAAATAGTTTGGAGATGGAGTGAAGCATGAACTAGTTGACACCAACTAAATACATTTACATGTTTTCGATTATAATACACATGTCCTGTCGGCACCCTTTTGAGGATTTCTGGTTAGACGACTCCACTTATTCCAGTGACTTGTTTGATGGTGTTTCAGTGTACATACAAGGTATCGTTATATACAATATCAACTATTGGATAACAGACAATCACACAGCTTGAACATAGCAACATAATCAAGAATAAACACATGCACTCACACTCGCACACACAGTTTATATATATTTTCCAAATTACGAATAATGTCAACATACAGAAGACACAGTGGCTTTGCAGACATTCCTTTATCAAACAAAGGAAATAAGTTCATTAATGTGTTATTATTTGCAGACTCCGAAATTAATCATAGTCATATTTGTCAGATTCTTCTGCACCAAAGAACTATTTTAAGGAATTTAATAAGACTTGCCGTGTATCCTTGGTCGCTTTGCTGTCGGGCAGCAAGTATATGATATAAACGAAGGTATCTACGTAGGAGACTGGTAATGGGAAACACAAGCAAATACATGACAAAAATGTCTGCTCAGGGCAAAACATGAATTAATCGGAATCATGAGCAGTGATTGAGGAGTTTGTCCTCCTTTGTGGTAGGCTATCTCCATGTAGTCTGTTCAAGCTGTGTGTACGCACGTAGTTCGGTTGTTATGAATGATGACTGCCCGGCGCCATGTGATCTGCTTGTAAATAGTTTGTGAAGAGTCCTAGGGTTTAAAGGTACGTCCATGGAAATATGTACATTTTCAAGTTTTTCTAAGTGTTTCTTTTGGCATACCTTGAAAAATGTTGTCTTTTTGTAAAACGCATCAAACGTATAGTTTATAATACATTGGGTTCTAGTGTTCGTATGAGACGTTTTGCTATATCAATGAGAAGGAAAATCTGTGCACGGATACATTTGATTCAGAGATCGGCGTTGTGATCGGTATGGAACAAAAGGCACAAACTTACACCACCGTTGTTGTCGTGGATATACTGGGACGATAACTGTGACTGAACATCGTCATCCACATGTAGTCAACAAAGGTCCAGCTGATCACAGACACTGCATACGGTGACAGTTCTCCAGATTATTTAAACTGTCACGCGATACCTTTAGTTGGTAGTCAGTAAATAATTTGTAAAACGTACGAATGGATACAGCAAGGTTAACAGTGTACGATGCACATTGTAATGTAGATATTTATAAATTACCCACCCGTATATTCACTACTTTGATGCTAGGTATGACCGACCACCGCATGTACATTTGGCCTGTTAGCATGCCCATGTAGTCTGCTAGGTCGCACACTTAGCTTGACTGAACATGTTGCACACCAGTTCTCATATTTCGCTGCCATGTACGTGTAGCATGTTATGTCTGACTGTTCACCTACATTTTACATGTAGCCTGTTATGTCTGACTGAGTTTG